CCCCCACACACACACACAGAGACTCACACAACACAAACACACACGACACAAACACACACATGAACACACACACAGACACACACACACATAGACACACACAACACATACACACACAAACACACATACACATAAACACACACACACAACACAAATACACAAACACACACACACACAACACAAACACACACACATACACACACGCATAAACACGCACACATACACACACTTTCTGCCTCGCGCTCTCCTGTCTGAAGTCGCTCCTGTCTTCAGCACTCAAAAGGTCTTGACTAATATGCCAAGAGTGAAGTTCGAACCCGAACTTTTCCAGCCCTTTCTGAAATATCGTTGCCCCTACCCAAGTCCAATGTGCTTTTATGTAAATAGAAATTTCATTTGCCAAACTTTTTGAAAATAGAAGTTTGAATGACTTGCTAGTTGGTCGGAGGATTAAAAAAACAACAACCTCAAGTCATACATCATAATTATTAAATATTTTCTCTCAGTATTGTACGTGTAAATCATGGTTTATACAGATTGTGTGTATGCTGCATCAGGCTAAGTATTTCCATCGGTTTCCTATTTCTTTTCCCCTTCAGCAGACGACAAAGACAAGATGGCGAAGCCCACGTTAATTCTCTTCTGTGCAGTTACAATCCTCCTACTTCAGAGTTGCAGTGCAGGCCGTAAGTTTTTTTCTTTAGTTCCTTTTAATATATATGCTTAAAAAATGAGCTAAAACGTTCTTAAGTCAGTCTTTTTTGATAATTAAAAAATAAAAATTTAACAAAAAATAAAGGATTCTAAATCAGTCGACCGTTATTTTGTTTCATTGATGGGTGTGCTCACGATTCGTTCTATCGAAGTCGAAAGTTATACTGTGAAGTCATTCGGCGTAGACGTTCCATTGATCAGGGAAGTTTTCAATGGAACAACGACACTGGATGACGACAGAGTGTGCATGCCCAACTTTGCACCTTCGATTTCGTCGTGTCGTGTACGGTAAACACTCCGAATGATGATAATAATTATTAAAAAAAACAACAACAACAAAAAATCTTTATCGTAAAATGCCAAACGAAATGTTCCATTCAGAGAAGCAGGTGAAATCGGTGTGATCAACGACCTCATTCGACGATGACTAATATCTAGGGCTGGGCAATGAGTCGCTTTATCAAAATCCGGATAATATGTTAGTGCACCTCTTCGGCAATTAAAAGTGCTTTGAACCGCTTCGGCAAATGGGTTTGAACCACTTTGACAAACAGGTTAGCATCACTTCAAAATATGGGTGCACCCACTTTCGCAAACGGGCTAGGAAAGACAGTTTAAGAGTCTGAATTCGGATAATATTTGATTGTGAATTATCCTGTCATCCGGATAGGTTATCCGGATTTTGCCCTCCACTACTAATATCCAGTTGCGTAAGGCGACTGGAAACCCAAGTCACGCATGCGTGCACAGCTCTAAGATAATGTGATTGTGGGCCTTCCATTAGCGATAAGAACAGTTGAAACGGCCTGTTTTGACACTATTGATTCTCCATTTTCCGCGTTTATTTCGCACTGGACAGTTATTCAAAACGCTGGAATCTCTTTCCTTCTCCTCCTCGATCTTTCAATTCCTGCTCTTGTCCTCCTCCTCCTCCTCCTCCTCCTCCTCCTCCTCCTCCTCCTCCT